GGCAGAAGATTCCACTTTTTTCTGCTGCTGGGCTCCCACATAATGAAATAGGAGCACAAATATGTAGACAGGCTAGTCTTGTTGCTGGGAAAGATGTATTAGATCATTCCGATGAAAATTTTGCTGTTGTTTTTGGTGCTATGGGTGTAAACATGGAAACAGCGAGATTTTTTCGGAGAGATTTCGAAGAAAACGGCAGTATGGAGAGAGTTGCTTTGTTTCTTAATCTAGCAAATGATCCTACTATAGAAAGAATTATTACGCCTCGTCTTGCTCTGACGACAGCTGAATATTTAGCTTTTGAGAGAGAAATGCATGTATTTGTTATACTTACAGATATGTCCGCATATGCAGATGCATTAAGAGAAGTTTCAGCTGCTAGAGAAGAAGTACCAGGAAGAAGAGGATATCCTGGATATATGTATACAGATCTATCAACAATATATGAAAGAGCAGGCAGAGTTGAGGGCCGTAATGGCTCTATCACTCAGTTTCCTATTCTTACGATGCCGAACGATGATATAACTCACCCTATACCTGATCTTACTGGGTATATTACTGAAGGACAAATATTTGTAGATAGAGCTCTACATAATAGACAAATTTATCCACCCATCAATGTTCTTCCTTCTCTTAGTAGACTTATGAAAAGCGGTATAGGAAAAGGAATGACCAGAGAAGATCATCCAGCTGTTTCAGATCAGGTGAGACAAAATATTCTACTCTTTTTATTTATTTATTTATTTATTTATATATTTATTTATTTTTTTTTGTTGAATTCCGTTTTTTATATATTTTATAGAGATATCTCTTGTTTATTATACTTGTATTTTGGGGCGGGGGGGGGGGGGNGGGGGGTGAGTTGTATGAATAGAATATACAGCATCTGCATATTCAGTGAAAATATTTCAATAAAATTGTTTCTGTATAAACAGAAATTACTTAATATTTAATTAAAATATTAAAAAAGTTTTTTTATGAGGATATACTTTTGTTTAGTTTGTATACATGTAAACCCAGGTAGTTCATAATACAGACGAAGTGAAAAATGCTTATTGAAAACGGCTTTCTCAGTTGAGTTTAGTTTGTATGAATAAATTTAATTTATTTATTAAAATTTATTTATATTTTATATTTATATTTTATATTTATATTTTATATTTATATTTATATATTTGTTTTGTAAAGGGTTACAGGTTACTCCTTACACTTCGTCAATTCAAGTTTTTCAGTGATCGCAGTTTCTGAATTCTTTTGCCTCACTCATAACTTTCTCTCTGTATCCATTTTTTTTTAGTTTTTTGTGTTTTTTTCTGTTGAAAACAGACAGAAACTTTGCGTTTTTCCTATTAAACTGTTGCCTATAGACGAACCTTCTGTTGCTGACGGTTGCTGCTGTTGCTGCTGCTGCTGCTGCTGCTGTTTGTTGTTTGTTGTTTCTTCAGCTGTATGCAAACTACGCTATTGGCCAGGATACGCGTGCAATGAAGGCGGTGGTGGGTGAAGAGGCTCTATCTGCTGATGATATGTTATACCTAGAATTCACAGATAAGTTTGAAAGAAGATTCCTGCAGCAGGGAGCTTACGAGGGCCGAGATATATTTCAGAGTCTAGACATTGCGTGGGAGCTTCTTCGTACTTTCCCTGAAGATATGCTCAAAAAAATTAAAGAAGATCTCTTAAGAAAATATTACCCCCGTACAAAATATGTTGAAAACCAGGCAGCTGATAAGAAACCCCCACCGCAGCAACCGCAGCAGCAACAGCAGCAGTAGCAGCAGTAGCAGCAGTAAGCCTAGTGCAGATAGATACAAACGGAAACAACTTGAATTCAAACATTCTTACAAAAAAAAAAACAAACAAAGGACTGCCTCATCATCTTCTTCTCCACCTCACGCACGCTTTCTCTGTGGCTTACGTTTCAGCCTTTCAAGAGGAAAGGCAGCAGAGACGCCGTATTCATATTTCTTTCTATTTTCATATTTCTTTCGACGGGTTCTTGTTAGGTATTCTTTGAAACAGTTTGCAGGCCCTGGCGGGTTTTGGTTCTTAACGAAATACAACATTTTCTTCTTGCGTTTACACTCTTGAACATGAAAAACATCTCCTTCACGCTGCTACGATCTGTTTATTTTCGCGGCTATTCATTTATTCCGAAGAAAAGCTTTAGAGGCAGAAGACGGCTTCTCCGTCTCTTGGGCTGTCTTGCACGTTTCAGCTGGAAGGCCAGGGGAATCCCGCTGTGTTCAGCATTTGCACTGCCGCTGCTGCCGCTGCTGCTGCTGCTGCTGCGGGTATTCCTCTTTTGTTTTGTTGGTTCGGGGAGGTTATTGAAGCAAAGTACGCGCTCGACGGTTTCTGTGAAACTGTCGTCTTGTGGTCGTTCAATATAATGCCATTTAGTTTGACGGCGGTGCCGAAACGGGAGGATTGTGGCAAAGCCAGTGAGGCTACAACAACTTTATAGAGAACATTTTGTTTATTTATTAAAATAAAAACATTTTGTTCATGAGGTTTGTTGAAATCACGAAACATTAGAGTTTCGCTTTCCGCTCGTTTCAGCCAGTTTTGCAAAAAAAGGAAATCCTAAAAAAAAAAAAACCAGGCCATGTTTAGTATCGTTTGAAAGCAAATTCAAAATACTTTCATTAGAAAGCAAGAAACAGCTAAAATATTCGAGAGTTTCTTCACTTTAGTTCAATTGCAGAAATACCGTTTCAGCTGAGGAGCACGTACACCGCAGAGAAAATTCAGCTTTCCGTCAGCCGCGCTTTCTTTGCAAACAAATTTCTGAACGCCAACTGCGCAGGCATCAACTTTTTTGCATTTTTCTCTGCTTATCGCAGCTGGTTACTTTTGTGTTTCTCTTTTTCTTTTCCATTTCTAGCGCTTGTCTCTGTTTAAATCGCAAGTTTCTTCTTTTTCTTTCTGTCGCAAGATGACTGAACCAAACGCAAGGCGGAGGCGCCGTCGCCGGCTTTCCCCTTCTTCATTTCTGCTGCCGACGCCAGCGGAGCTTTTGGTCAACGAGATGGGCGGAACGATTCTGACCAATAGAAACAGTGACCCTGTTATGTTGACTTGGTCACAGAGCTCAAAAGGCAGTGCAAATGAGTCGGTGGGGGGAGAAGCTGCACCTGCGGCTGGCGTTGCAGCTGCTGATGCTGTAGCAAAACAAACCGTTCTAGCGGCGCCACCTGCACAGGCAGTTGAAGCCGAGCAGGACGGCCCTGCCCCTGCCGGCTTAGTGAACCCGGAAACAGCAGCACCAGCAGCAGAACCAGCAGCAGTCTGCGAAACAGCACCTATTTCGGTCGATCCTGGCGCCGTGTATGGAGAGCTGAGGCAGCAAATGTTGTGTGTTCAGGTGTATGCACGCCAGACAGAACTACAAACACCGCTAGCTTCGCCTCGCCAGATAGGAAAAGCCAGCTCTCCTGTGGTGGTGCTAGAAGGGGGCCCCCAAGCGGCTCCCTCCTCTCAACAGAAACACGGCTTCATACAAGAGCCGATGTCTCCCCCGCCGCTACCTGATGAAGAGCAGAGAGAAAACGAATGGCATCCAAAGATAGATGTTCTATCCCCCAGAAAAGGAGACGCAAGGCCGCTCGATGATGAAGGGATTATGCTGCGCACGCGGGCCCTGCTGCAGGACAGAGATATGAAGCTCTTCAGCATGTCTCTCGCTCGGTCTTCACAGGCGAGTCAGCTCAGCTTATAAAAGTAATAACAACTCCTAAGTATAAACAAAGATATAATAAATTAAAATTTATTTATGTAAATACAATCTAAATATATATGTAAACAAATATACAAATACAAAGACGCAGAAAGCGAAACGTTAAACAAACAAAATAATACAGAATTATACACCAAAGCTTCAACAAAAACCGATAAAAGTATACAAAAATATTAAAAAAAAAACCTAGCAGCAGAACGACGATAAGGAGATAAGCATAAGCAAATATAGAATAACAGTAGCAAGGATAAAAACCTAAATAAAAGTATAAAAATAAAAGGATATATATTTTATTATTTACGCTTCAATTTATGATTTTCTTTTAATATATATATATATATATATATATATATATATATATATATATATATATATATATATATATATATAT